ATATAGGAATCACAGCTGACATGAGAATATAAGTTAGTTCTATAGCAAACTATAGTTTTTAGCACAAAGGCTATAGAAAACTGAAGAATTACTCAACCGACTCGAGGATACAAGTTAGTTCTATAGAAAACTATAGCAGCACCAATGAATCTGTGGGTTTATTTTTTTTCCAATAGCTTCTTACAGTATTCTATAGAATTCTATAGGAAATTACACTTGAAAAATATTCATCTACCAATCCTACACAAAACTATAGTACATGTTTTTGAATCTATAGTCATGTAAAAAAAAATACAGAATGAATTCGTTTTCCTGCAGCATTCTATAGCATTCTATAGAATTCCACAAACTTCTATAGAAACCTGTACTTTTTCTATTGGACTTTTTCATAAGGGTATGAACTTTTTATGTTCATGTGTAGGCAATTAGCCTGTTATTAACATACACAGCAGTGATTTCGCAGTTTTGTATTGTTTCTGAATATCCCCTACTTTTTTGAAGAGTATACTTATTATATAATACTGAAAAAAATATTCTGTTTCTTTATCTAATTAATCATGTTGAGAAAAAATTGTAATTCATATTAAATTGCTACGATAGATGCGTAATGAAGGTTTCTACAAAAGGAAGTGACGAACACAAAAGGAAAATACGAGTTATCCTTCTATAAACTGACTGAAGTGACGAGTGATAACCGATACATGGGCGAATTTCTGCAAATTCTGCTCACTAACAATTCCTTCGAAGACCAAAAGTTGTTATGTGAGACTGTGAGAGGATGTCTAACAATTCAAAAAAGTAATTGAAAGTCACCAGATAAGAGAACACGAGAAAAATAGAAATAGTCCGCACATTCCCTTGTTTTTATTCATTCTATACTTAATAAAAACATGGTAATGCACGGACTTTTTATACGCCCACATAGAAATGTGGACGTATATTGCTGTCGCCCCCGTCCGTCCATCTGTCGCTTCGTCGGTACTTCCGTCCGTCCGTCCATGCATCGTTCACAAATTCTTGTGAACGCTCTAACGCCAAAATTTATCATCCAGTTGTTTTAAAATTGATATATGTTGTTTGCATTAGTGAGATGAAGAAGCCTATTTAATTTCAATAATTTCCATTTATTACGCCTAGAGTTATGGCTCTTGTTTCACTTCGTTGAACCTTGTGAACGCTCTAATGCCAAAAGTTAACATCTGATCTTTGTGAAATTTAGATGCAATATTTAAATTAGTAAAACTAAAAAGCCTGTCAAATTTCAACAATTTCTGTACATTACTTCCAGAGTTGAGACCCTTGTTTCAGTTTGTAGAACCTTGTGAACCCTCAAATGGCAAAAATTATAATCTGATCTGTATGGAACTGTCTTGTAAAGGCCCCAAATTACCTACAAAGGAATAAATATGCGACAACCCTTGTCGACCCGACGGACGATTTAGCTGCTGTGGGCGTATGTTTCGTTGCATGGCAACCTATCTTTCTATATGTTTTCGTTTTCTCTTTTCTAGTGACAGTCAATTTCTGTTTTGTATGGAACTGTCTTGTATAATGGCCCCCAATTACCTACAAAGGAATAAATATGCGACAACCCTTGTCGACCCGTCGGACGATTTAGCTGCTGTGGGCGTATGTTTCGTTGTATGGCAACCTATCTTTCTATATGTTTTCGTTTTCTCTTTTCTAGTGACAGTCAATTTCTGTTTTGAATTGTCAGATATCCTCTCACAGTCTCGTATAACAACTTTTGGTATTCGAAGTAATTATTAGTGAGCAGAAATTTGTTATCACTTGTCATTTCAGTCAGTTATATAGAAGGATAACTCGTGTTTTTATTTTGTGTTCGTCCCTTCCTTTTGTAGAAACCGGCATTACGCATCTATCGTAGCAATTTAATATGAATTACAATTTTTTCTCAACATGATAATTAGATAAAGAAACAGAACAACTGTTTTCCTTTTGCGTTCGTCACTTCCGTTTGTTGAAACCTTGATTACGCATCTATATCGTAGCAATAATCTTTGTATTAAAATTATATTTGGAACCTGTTAAACCAGTTCTATCACATATGCGATAATGACTGACGCCAATATTGTCCTTTAAATAATTTTATTAAGATCCATTTGATCTAGTTGCTCAGGCTAGTTAAAATGGTCTTCAGACATCAAATTAAAGGTGAGTAGCTCTTATTTCAATGCCTTTCAAGGCCAATGAAACACTCTCTTAAGTTGAATCTAAATTATACATTTAACCTACAGTGCAATTGATCTTAATTTATCCAATGTATCTATTCTGCTTAATTCTGACATTTAAATGTCAATCACAGATTGATGAAATACCTTATGTGAATTTGCTCACCATGTGCATGGGTTAGAAATCAGATGTTTTCCCTTTGTTTGATTTTTCACTTTGCAAATTTTGCTTTTAGTCTGATTTTTCACACGGGTTCTCATCTAAGTTTTTGTTTCATTCTATTACCGGTAACACTTTGTTCTCCAAATATTCATAAGTAGATTGACGCCTTGTCAGAAAATCTTTGGAGTTTTGTTCACATATCTCTTTGGTTGATATCTTCAACACACAACTTGTAGGTTTTTTTGCATTTGATTTTTTTTTTATTTTCAATGTTTTCACTTGATTTTAAATCTATAAACCCTTTGTTGCTGATTTCAATACTTTTACCTGTATTGCCTTTTTCTATATGGTTATTCTTCCTATGTAATGCACCACTGTTATTGTCTTCAACTGCCAGTACTATCGCTGGCATGGTGTTGGTTAATTCATTAGTCAAAATTTCGTCACACTGTTTTTCTCTGTTTTTGATTTTTTCTTTCACTGTTCGTTCATTTCTCTCTTCATTTATTACACTCATATCATAGTTAGGCACTTCATCTGGTTCTACATTGACATCATCTTGCTGCAGCAGCTTCAACAACATGTTACCAATTTCATTGTTTTCGTCAGTATGGCGACTGGTTAATCTAGTTGACGCCTCTAAATCAGTAGGGTTTGTAGTTCCATTTTGTCCATGAGCATCTGATCCATCCAATCAGATATTACTAAATGTTTTTCAGCAAAACGGGCCAGTTTTTCTAATTCTTGTATGTTTTTTGTGCGTGTCATTTGATCTTAAAATTGTAGCCGTGGAAACATTCCTGCCCGGGTTACATTCATCAGAACCTTATCAGGTAATGGCGAATCCATGCAGCCTTCCAGTTTCTTCATTTCATGAATATATTCTCGCATTGCTGTTTCCTTCTACATAGTTCTCGTCTGTAATCAACAATAACTTCATGACCATATTCGTCTTTAAAGGCAGTTTCCAATTCTTTAAAATCCATTTTTATCGTTGTAGGAACGGATTGAAACTACGCTAATGCTCAGTTTATCATGAATGAAGAAAAGAATTCAATCTTGCTGTCCTTTGTTAGATTTAATATTTCACATGCAAATTCAAACTTCTGTAGCCATTTCGTTGGATTTTCATGTCCTTCATCTCCAGGAAAATTCCAATTCGACGCCTTCAAACATTATGTTGAAAAGCATCTGGCGCTCAATATTTGAGTTGCAATTATCTTCTTTTGTCTTGATGGGGGTGTAAGACTCAAAGAAAGACTCACACGACTCGAGAGATACTCACAGATCGACTTATATATCATCCGGGGTTTATGTACCTGTTATTATAAGTCCTACCTTAGACGATGGGTTGTATGTTCAATCTAGTTGGGGTGTAAGATTTAACAGAAACTGAACAACTCACGTCTCCTTATATACTTCTATATTGTAGTAACACACAACAATAATAATATATATAAACACACACACACTAAGGACCAATAGGCTAGCTAGGTAACTTAATAAGGAAAGGTATCTAAGAAATAACTTATCAGTATGTCCTCTTGCCCTCCTGTGGTCAACTGCCGCCTTCTTCTCAATATACAATTTTCAGGACTTTTATGCCTTTAGCTTTGTTCCTTAGTAACCCTAACTTTAATAATGGAACAGATTGTCACCCTATTGCCAATGTGGTGGTACTGATAGTCACCCTATTCCAAAGTTTTTGGGACTGTTTGTCACTCTATTCCCAAGTTCGTGGGACTGGGTTTCACCCTATTCCCAATCTTGTGGGACTAGTGGTTACACTATTCCCAAAACTTGCTTGGCTTTTGGTGAACGTGTGTTCAGGGTTTGCTTTAGTCCCATTCTTTAAAATAATTTGATAAATACCCTTTTCACAATTAGTGCAAAAATTACACATCATTATCAGTTTTAGTCCTAATTAGGAAGGTTCAAATAGAGACCATTGATGAAATTTAACAAGATTAATTGGTATTAAATATATTAGTAGATTTTTGTCATTTGAATAAACCATGCTTAGGTGTAGCTAAGTCTATAAACAGGACACTGTAAGGAATCTAGTGTAATGGAGGAGCGCCAGGCGGGTGGTAATGTAAGAATCAGAGTGTTTTATAAGATAAGTATTGAATTACATCTTTAACTAAACATCAACGGCAGTGGGTTAGCTTGATACACATACAGCACAGTATCTTAATATACCAACTTACAGCCACATGTATATCATTCTTCATCATACACTCAGTCAGCAGACTCCTTCTACAAACACAGTCAACATGTAGACTAACTTTACTTTTAGATCAACCAAAGTTTTTAATTTGTGTGGAATTATTAGAGTTTAACTTTTCTAAACAAAAGGATTATTGTGCTTACTATTTAAATGTGATAGTTGTGTTTTTGGAATCACAGGTCTTTCATGGTCAGTCATATGTTGGTTGGTTTCATTTAAGAGAAATTTAAATGGTCACATCACCTGTTTATTTGATAACTGGCAGCAGATTTTTGGTGGATTTGTAACAACTGTGAAGTTTGATGTGTTCGGAAATGTAGAAAATGTGATAATAATTCTGTTATAGTGTAATGTTAAATTATTTTGATTGTTAACATTGTATTTTTAAAATACATATTTAATGAATAATGGCCTCAAGGAAACTTTTTGTTTTTCTGTTGTCTGTGTTATTGTGTACGTTTTCAAGTGTTTTTGTCCTTTCACAAGATGACGTGCCACTCGGAGCTGCATCTCTGGCGTTTGTATTTGATATCACAGGATCTATGTATGACGATTTGTTACAGGTCATCGAAGGAGCAGGGAGAATCCTAGAAACAGCAAACAGTCGGAGATTTCAACCTCTGTATAATTTTGTTTTAGTTCCATTCCACGATCCAGGTAATATTTTTTATTACAATTTACAAATAAATGAAATGGGGTTTAAGTCCTACGTACTTTTTTACACTACTGCAGCAAATAACAAATTTGTTATACATGTATAACATACTAATCTTTACAAAGGATAATGCTGTTTTGTAATTATTTGCCTCAACTGCACATAAAACTGAAAAAGCTACATACTGGTAACTGTATTTTATTTTATTTTGAAATTAAAAAGTTTAGCCTTAATTACAAAATGAACTGACCTTTTGTCCTTACAATTTAATTTACAAAGAAAATTCCTGCAAATAACCTTTATTGTTATTTTACTAATTAGACCTTTTTACCTTTCTTTTTTTTTGGGGGGGGGGGCAATTTTTACACTTACTCTAATTTGAATTTTTGATCAGTGGGTTGGGATTTTGGATTATATATTATTTTAAGATTTTAATATATAGCAACTTGGATTTCGACTGTATCTACATGTACATTAACAGAAAATACATGAAGATGAATTTAAATTTAGTATTTTAGATTTAAGATTTCAAATCTTAAGTACCAGTGTTAAAAGTAGGCATATAAATATGTAATTTATTGTAGGAGATTGTAAATTTTATAAAATATCATTTTCATATTATAGAGTAAATTCAGCTTTTAATAGATCCTAGAAGAAGTGATATCCATCATAATATAGAAAAACAACCCATTTTTCAGGTTTTAGTCAACATCATCATTTATCTACACTATCAAATATTTTAAAACCAGTTTCATCTTTATAGGCCAAATTACAGAATTCTTACAGATAAATATATACTGTTGTCAAAATGAAGAAATATAGCGTAGATAATAAAACAATAAATTGATGCCTTAAAGGAGCTAAATTATTTTGTTTTAAGCCCAAATAAAGAACCGTTGGTGTTTTGAATAGGTTGACACCACGTGTGTTATTTTGATTAATGATGGAGCAAGCTCTCAATATATCATTAAATTTTTGGTTTGAAGGCTGCAGTGGGAGTCAGCTTTTTATTGCCATGAATCTTAAAGAGGGAGCAGCTGCACCTACAGTAAAGAATTTGAAATCGCATATCCCTTTATCGAAAATTCAGAATACACCACAATTGATAAAATGATGGGCTAATTAAGGGGTTGTTGTCAGCTTTAATAGAACAGGCAGCAGAGGAGTACCCAATCGGCTGAAAAACTCTGTAAGTGTACCTGACTTCCCGGACGGGTACCCAGATGTTGATAGGAACCCGATCACGAATTAATCAACAAGATTAAGTGTTTCAATACTGTATGAATAATCACAAAGATTGTTTTTTTTATGACAGCCATATTGTGGTCTACTTCTGTTGTGGAAATATTTTCACTGAATTGCAGTCATACTGAGGTTGCAATATATTTTAGAACAATATAACTTGGTTGCATGCAAGATTTTACAAATTCGAAACCCTTATCGGAAGACGGGTACTGTTATAAATGGAGTTCTTGAATCAATTAGGTACCGTGGGTACTTGTCTGTAATATTACAGACGACAATGATCCCATCAGCGATACCTAGCCACCCCATAACTTCCCCTACAGTTGCCTCACTAGCCTACCGTGTAGTACCGTTGCCATTAGGTATTTCAACTTGAAAATCATTCCCTTGACTCTGTAAACATCATGACACCTGCAAAATATTTGGAACCACACAATGCAAAAATTACAAAGCACATATCCATTAATTAATTTGTATGCTCCTGCAGGACACAGCAGGCCTTAATTGTTACACAGGCCTTAATTCTCCTTGTGCTATGCCTTGAAGCAGGGGCAGGCATACAGCACACCTATTTCAGAACATCCAGAATTTATATTTATAATATGCTAAAGGAGAGTGTGATATGTTTTCTGTTCATATGCTCTAGGCAGACTTACTGCCAAATGAAACACTTTGAAAGGATATTAAAGTAGTATTAAGTTTGCTGTAAGCCAACTTAGAATTTATTTGTGTGAAAGGATAATAAATGTATGTTATTTGAAAGGATATATTCTATAAGATTTTATAACATGCTCTCCCCTGCCATGAAACATGTGGAGATAAATAAACTGACAAGAGATAATGTTGTTTTTAATGGAGGGGTAGACTTTATTTTAACTAATCACCAGTAGCCTACATCAGAGTACATAGAAAAATAAACATTAGAATTAAGACCAGATGCCAGTAAAGAGTGATTTGATTTTGCACTCTTAAAGTTAGTTACTAAAGATATTTAAATAATTGAAAAGCACCCAAATTTTATGGTTGAAAATCATTGTTGGTTTCTTGAACTGTAGGCCACATCATCTAAAAATCAAACTTATATATAACTTCTCACACTGATAATGACTTAATAGTTTAGTACATAATGCCTGTGTGTCAATCTCAAATGCAGCTATATTGCAAGGGTGTTGTTTAGTGTGTAGAATTATCAGTAATAATACCTATGGTAATTGCCCACTGGTTAATTCTGATTACTGATACCACTTCACATTAAATCCCCAAGGCCAGGGCAGGATTAACCATTAAGCAAAATGAGCATGTGCTAAGGGCATCATGGGAAGGGGGTGCACAACATAATCTCTGATTTGTTAGATGACAAATTTAAAATATTTGATTTAAAAATTAATTAAGAACTTTTGATTAGATTTTCATTGTTTTTGTCTTTTCTTACTGTTACCTGTTTTGTCTCATTTAATAATGGTGTGTATAAAAAGATCTGATCAAAGACTTTGCAATTAAAAAAAATAGGATAAAACTTTTCAAAAATAAATAAAGTGGAAGTGTATAAAAAAATAAACATTATTTTCCATCTTACTGTTAAAATTGTTTTATTTTGAAAAATACAAATTTATTTTATGGCTTATTATCGTTTTAATTTTGAATTAATCTTGGGGGCACCAAATTATTTTATAGAGTTCTTAGGGCCTCTATGGGTCTTAATCTGGCCCTGCCCAAGGCTATAAATAAAGTTTAAGATTACATACCAAAATATAAAGTACTTTTAACATTATTCAATTTTATCAGTTCTATTGTCATTTCGAGTATATAAAGGTTTCTACAGATTTCACACTACCATCTTTATATGTCTTAAAGAAATCAAGCAATATAATAATTCTGCTGTCTTTATCATCATTATTATTCCTATACTGAGCCATAATAAATTTTATGATGTAGAGTTTTTTAAATTGCCTGATAGGTAGAATACAAAACATTTTTAGCTGAAGAGTAAATTTGGCCATAATTTTTTTTAATTATTATTTGAAGCAGAGTTAAAGAGGTACATGTAGTAGATATCTATGATATAAAACACATGGTGTATAAAGATATACTTACATGCCTGGTTGGCTTATCTTACATACTTAACATCACTTATTTATACAGATAATTCATAACATTTTTATATTTAGTGGTATCTATTATCAATTATTACAGTCAATTGGTTAATAAATGAAATAAGAACTACTATTAGCTTGTTTAACATCCTGGGAGTTAATCTTCTGGTAGAATTAGGGTTCTATATATACGTGGTGTCATAAATAAGTATTTATACATTCAGTTAATGTATGTGGTTAAATTTACTAGTATTAAATATCACATAAAGAAGGACTTGAGACATGGTTCTGCTACTTACAGACCAAATGACTTATAGTATAGTATGTAATAAATAGTATAGTATAGAAGAATTTTTTAGAGTTAACAGGGGGCAAAGCTTGGTTTTGAATGACTAAAAGTGCAGGTTTGCAAATAATTTTCAAAGGAATAGACAGGTTTGTCCGTGAATTTGTTAGGGGGTGTGAGAGATCATGAGCAGAACTCAGGTTTGACTGTAGGGGGGTTCAATCACGCTCAATCCCTCCTACCTCTCTCTGACATCCATAATAAAGTTTTATTTTATCATCAAACAAATAGCCAATGTACACTTGCTGGGGTAGGAGGGATAGTCAATGAGGTGGGTTGGATTAATCGATCTGTTCATACAGGCTACCATAGGCCTACACGTGAAAAAACCAATAGTAAACAGAAAAATCATTGTCTTGTGACATGTTAGTTTATAAATGACCCAAGACAATTAGTATAATGGTCAAGACATTTAACTAAATTTCATTTCATTCTCTGCATGTATAATAATTTTCGCAGAGTTCTGGTAATGAATTTTGATGATTTAAATGCACTCACTGAAGATTTAATTTAAATAGAAAGTTAGAATTATATAAACAGTTTATATTAGTGTGGTATATTATTAATAACACATGTTTGGATATTACCAAGATATTTAATTATATATCACTGACTGTGATTATATATACATTTGCATTCTTTTACCATAATATCTCAGCAATACCTTTTTCCAGCGTGGTTTCCCTTTGTCAGTGGTGCAGGACAAAGGGCCTGACAAGGACAGCTGTCTAGTTGTTTGGATGGGATGAAAAACCGAGGTCCAGTGTACACATTTCCCTCATAACTCACTGTGTGGTGTATGCCCGTCTTCATTAGCCCAGTCAGAGCAGAGCAGTAAGAAGTTAAACCCCATGTTATTCCATTTCATTTCAGTAATACCTTTGAGGCTAACAATGATGGAGTCTGCTCATTAGTCCGATGTCTGCTGATGCTCAATAGTCCTATACCTATTTGTGTGATGCACATTGGTCTGACACTTATTGTTACAGCGTCCACATAATTATATATAATGTAGACCGAATGTGAGTTGGGTTGTGTGCTGTCAACTGTCACTCATTGCACCTAGCTTTGCTGTGGCACCTTTTGTTCATGCATAAAAAGTATGGGTTGTTTACAAACAATCGTTTAATCCCTAGTTGTTGGAAACAGCATATAATTTGTCAATATACCCGTTCATTATTTGTGAGCATTAAGACAGAATTAGAATTAGCGGATCAAAATGCCTCTCGCGATGATGCATGTGCTCAGAAAATTGCCTTTTTTGTATATACCCACATTGAAATTTGGTTGTATATTGTCGTCACCGCCTGTCCACCCG